AAAATTGCACACCTGCACAGCTCCTAAAGATGGATTCCCTGTTGCAACGGGGAAATACGTACTCTAAAGAAAAATTTTCCCCTCCCCCAGCGATGAAGGGCCCTAAATTTCCCAAATTCCGGAATTAAGCCAGCTTTATCGAGATTTTTTTACCTCAGCTAAAACCTCAGCTAAAACCAACTCTCTTGTAACTTTAACCCGTTACGGTTTGTAACTGAGCTCTGCGACAGCGGAAAAATGCCTTTTTCTACTTTGACAAATCATTCAGCCGCTGAATTATTTCAAAGGGACGATTCTGTCTGTTCCCCTCAAAACTCTCCCCCCATCCTCAGGTTACTAACTTATTAACTGCAGTGATTCACTTAGCAACGGTGGCAAGAAAAGGCCGTCAAATGGGGGGGGGGACTCATTTTAAAAATGTCTCACTTAACCACAGAAATTTTGGGCTCAATTTTGATCGTAAAGCTGTATGCATCTCTTTTTTTCCATCTGTTTTCATTTGTACCAGGGTATAACGACATGCCCCAAACACATTTGCAAGTCTAATTTAACTGATTTCTTTAACTGCCACAAATGAAAAACTTTGTTCGACCAGATGGATTATTTATTACACACGTAGTACTTAAATTTTTGAGGCCACTTCAATCATAACCTGCTTTGTGCAGCTTACATTTTGTCCCTGTGTAAACAGGACTAAGAGCAACTTTGGAGAAATAAATTATGGGCCAAACTTTATTTAATTATTTTAAAACTATTTTAACTTTTGTGTACAAATGTTTTATTTTTGGCTGTTCACCACCCAAGTGAGTCTGAAAGGAGAAGGCGGTATAGAAATTTAAATAATAAATAAATAAAATAAAAATAAATAACCAAGCACTAAAAAAAACAAAACTATAAGGAACCATTAAAAAATCATCTACAGGTAGCCCTCAATTTACAATCATTGGTTTAGAAGTTACCACAGTACTGGAAACAAGTGACTTACGATCTTTTTTTCCACACTTATGACCGTTGCAGCATCCCCATGCTCACGTGATCAATATTCAGACACATGGCAACTGACTCATAATTATGACGGTTGCAGTCTCCTGGGATCATGTGATCCCCTGTTGCGTCCTTTTGACAAGCGAAGTCAACGAGGAAGCCAGATTCACTTAACAACCGTGTTACTAACGAAATAACTGCGGCGATTCACTTAGCACAACTGTGGAAGAAAGGAGCAAAATTCACTTCGCTGTCTTGCTTAGTAACAGAAATGTTGAGCTCAGTTGTGATCTTAAGTGAAGGACGGCCTATAATCATATTCTCCTACACAGTAAAAAAAATCCCTCTATTTTTCCCTCAAAAGCTGTTGAAGTAATCAGATTTATTGCAAGTTGAAGCAAACTGAATTTTTTTGCTGGGGGCAACGGTTGACGTCTCTCTCTCTCTCTCCCCACCACCCAAGAGCTCTTAAAAGAAGGAAGAAAATCTGCTTTACTTCATTTAATTGGGTAGGAAATAGACTAGGGTGTCAGCAGTCCTGTAAAAATCCAGTCCTAACATCCTTCAAAGATTGGTCACCAGAACTTGGTACCCAAATTCATCCATAAATACCGAATGGTATTTCACAGCTCTGTCACCACATGCTTCATCTGAGATCCAGGTTAACAGGACACCGGAGTTGTTCACATGAGGCCCAAGGACACACACTCTGTAAGGGGTGAGTCTGATGGTGTGGTCAACACAAATTGCAAAAGAAAACCACAGCATGTTCACTTACATCGCGCCGATACCCCAGCTGAGCAATTCAATCGTGGCTAGTCTAGTTTTAATGGGTGAACCCAGCCTAGATCAGGGCTCTTGGCATTTGTCCCCATGGCTAATCTTTTCGTTCTCAATCAATCGTAACCGGTGGTGAAATCTAAAATTTGTTATTACCGGTTCTGTGGGTGTGACTTGGGGGGGTAATGTGACTGGGTGGGCGTGGCCAATTTTTTTTTTTTTACTTTTAAAAGCATTTTTTCTACAACCTCTTCGGCAAAGAGGTTGTAAAAAATGCTTTCAAAAGGCTCTGACGAACCCAGCTGAGTTGCCTGATCGGCAGAGGCTTTTTTCTTTTAAAAGCCTCTGCTGATCAGGCAACTCAGCTTGGATCGTCAGAGGCATTTAAAAGAAAAAAAAGCCTCTGCTATTAGGCAACTCAGTTTGGATCGTCAGAGGCATTTAAAAGAAAAAAAAAGCCTCTGCTATTAGGCAACTCAGCTTGGATCGTCAGAGGCATTTAAAAGAAAAAAAGACTACTGATTAGGCAACTCAGCTTGGATCATCAGAGGAATTTAAAAGAAAAAAAGCCTCTGCTATTAGGCAACTCAGTTTGGATCATCAGAGGAATTTAAAAGAAAAAAAGACTACTGATTAGGCAACTCAGCTTGGATCATCAGAGGAATTTAAAAGAAAAAAAGCCTCTGCTATTAGGCAACTCAGCTTGGATCATCAGAGGCATTTAAAAGAAAAAAAGGAGGTTGTAGAAAAAATGCTTTTAAAATTTTTTTTAAAAAAAGCCTCTGATGATTGTGCGGCTCAGCTGGGCATGGGGGGCGGGGGGGCAGGGATTTTTGCTACTGGTTCTCCAAACCACCCATCTCCATCGCTATCGGATCGGGCGATCTGGTCCGAACCGGGAGCATTTCACCCCTGATCGTAACAGAGCTGTAAAGGGACCTTGGAGGTCTTCTAGTCCAACCCTGTGCTAAAGCAGGAGACCATTGTAGGAAGTTAGCACCCACCCCTCTCCTAGAAGAATGAAATATTTTAGGAAATATTAAAAAGGCAGAATTTATTTCCCTGGATGAGAAATGGAGAAACATGTTTTAAAGACAAAGCAGCTTCCTGCCCCCCCCTTTTTTCAGCCAAGCTCACTCATTCCCCCCACCTTTGTCAATGGACCATCATCTGCAACACAATAGGACCCATCTAGCAACAGAAACTCACCACATGGCACCTGGGAAGATTACATCAGCCAGCAAGGCTAGCTAAGACCCCCACCCCCTGGGAGTCTGACAACCAATCAGGATACTCTTTCTGGGCCCCAGGAAGTTCAAAGCTCAGAGAGGGCATAAAACCCAGGGACTCTCAGCATCTCCCCCACTTTTCTGTTCAGGAACTCAAACCATGTGATCCTGTCCACCATTAAACCATCTTTCCAAGCAGTCTCCATGTTTCCAGTGTCTTTTTCCCCACTTGGAGCTGAACCCAGAAGGATAACTCTTCCAACACCATTAAGGAGATCAGTAAGGGACCATAAAAGAGATCAGTAAAGATTTTTAAACTCTCCACCAGCCATTAAAATAACAAGGGGCTCCCGTCCATTCATTTCTTGTGAATCGACATTTATAACCAAAGATGATCAAGAATGGGCCTCATTTCCTTCATCTCGCCCCAAAAACTCCTTTCTCTCTTACAGTGAGGATCCTGACAAAATTTCCCAGCCTGGAACATCATCCAAGGAAGGTTGCCAACTTCCTGGAACACCAAAAAAACAGTAGCTTCCGTGCTTGAGGTACCTAATAAATGGATAGAATTCAAGAAATCATCTCTGACAAAAAGCACAATAGCCCAGACTGATTTAAAAGCTGGTAGAACTGAGCCTGGATAGCTCTGCAGACAAGACACTGTAATTTAACACCAGCTGTCTGCAATTAAAGTAAGTTCGAATCTTGCCAGGCTCAAGGTTGACTCAGCCTTCCATCCTTTCTAAGGTAGGTAAATTGAGGACCCAGTTTGTGGGGGCAATAAGCTGACTTTGTATAAATATACAAAAGTATGAAGGCTATTGCTTAACGCACTGTAAGCCGCACTGAGGCTCCGGAGAAGGGCGGCATATAAATCAAATTAAAAAAAAAAGAAGAAGAAGAACGCATCCACGAACACCAACTAGTGATCAGAAAACAGGATGAAAACTCGTTTAATTTCACAACACACCATAGTTTTCAGCTGGGAAACTGTGACCATCCTAGACCAAGCCAAGTCTAAAAACACTTGGGGATTTCTAGAAGCCTTGGCACTCTGACGAATTAGCTATCAATAGACACGTTAGACATAAACGATATCTATATATTATGCAAAAGAGGCAATCAACAAGCCAAAAAGGATCCGAAAAGGCCAAAATATTTCCCCACCAGCAATCACCACCAAGGTAAAAGTAGATTTAACTCCAAGATTAACATCAGACCAACAATGAAGAAGTAAGCCATACCCCCAAGTGAGGAAAGCCACTAAAAAGAAAAGAGCGACTAAGATAATTAAAGGCCTGGAGGCTAAAACATATGAAGAACGGTTGCAAGATTTGGGTAGAGCCACTTTAGATAAAAGAAGGACTAAGTGGGGGACATTATAGCAATATCCCAGTATTTGAGGGGCTGCTACAAAGAGGAGGGGGTGGGTCAACTTATTTTGCAAAACACCAGAAGGCAAGATATGAAACAACGGATGGAAACGAATCAAGGAGAGAAGCAACCTGAAATTAAGGAGAACCTTCCCAACAGCGAGGACAATTAACCAGTGGAACAGCCTACCACCAGAAATCGTGGGTGCTTCATCACTCCCTTTTTTCTTGTTTCTCTTTCTTGCTGTTCTGGTATCTTTCTTTATTTCATATTTTACGATGTATGTGGCTGAGGTGATAGTTTATCTTTTTGTATTTCATAATCAAATTTAATTTATTAATTTAATTTAATTTATTTAATAATCAAATATTAAAAAAAAATAAAAGTTGTTTTTAAAAAATTTTTTTAAAAAAAAAGAAGAATATAAGCTGAGAAGAAACTCCACTTCCCTACCAGCACTGATGATATCACCTAACTGGGTCACCAAAGGTCTGCTAGAAAAGCCACCAAGTTCAGAGGGCACCAAGGACCCCTGATTTAAAAGCTGGCAACTTTTTCTCTGGGCTTCAAGCCATCCAGGACTGGATCAGATCCAGGCTAAAGAAGTAAACCTTAATTCCAACGGATTCTAACCTGGTTTGCAGGGGGGAGAGACGGTTCTTCCCGATCCCCAGCGCCAAGCTTTGCTGCTCTGGCTTTTCTTTTCTTGGAGGGAGGACAGAAGGGAAACTGCCCACCAGCGCAGCCTTAGCAAGCGGCGGCTCCGACTCGCGGAGTGGAAAAGCGCTAAGCGAGAGTTTCCACGCGGGGCGCTTGCAGCATCCTGGCTCGGCGGGTTCCCTGGACTTCCCCGTCCTGCTCTGCCCGCTTACCTCCTCCTTTGCCCGGCCGAGCTGCTCTGCTCCTCGCCCGCTCCTCCTCGGTCAAGCGAGTCCCAGCGGCCCCGGCCAGCGGCTCCTCTTGCGGCGGCGGCGGCGGCAGCTGCTGCTCTCCGTCACCCAACCCAGCCGCTCGCCCCCGCGCCCGCCGCAACCCCTCGCTCCTGTCGCCGCCTCCGCTGGCAGGGACGGCGCTGCAGAGGAGCGGAGGGTGATCCCGGCTGGCCCCCGAAGGGAGGAAGGAAGAGGGGGAAGGAAGGGAAGAGGAAGAGGAAGGAAGGGAAGAGGAAGAAAGGAAAGAGGGAGGAAGGAAGGGGGCTTGGTGAAGGAGAAAGAAGGAAGGAGAAGGACAAAGAGGAGAAAGGGGAGGAAGGGAGGAAGGAAGGGAAGAGGAAGAGGAAGGAAGGAAAGAGGAAGAGGAAGGAAGGTAAGAGGTAGGAAGGGGTTCGGAGAAGGAGAAAGAAGGAGAAGGAAGGAAGGAAGGGGGCTTGGTGAAGGAGAAAGAAGGAAGGAGAAGGACAAAGAGGAGAAAGGGGAGGAAGGGAGGAAGGAAGGGAAGAGGAAGAGGAAGGAAGGAAAGAGGAAGAGGAAGGAAGGTAAGAGGAAGAGGTAGGAAGGGGGTTCGGAGAAGGAGAAAGAAGGAGAAGGAAGGAAGGAAGGGGGCTTGTTGAAGGAGAAAGAAGGAAGGGGAAGGATGAAGAGGAGAAAGGGGAGGAAGGGAGGATGGGAGGAAGGGAGGAAGGAAGGAAAGAGGAAGAGGAAGGAAGGTAAGAGGAAGAGGTAGGAAGGGGGTTCGGAGAAGGAGAAAGAAGGAGAAGGAAGGAAGGAAGGGGGCTTGGTGAAGGAGAAAGAAGGAAGGAGAAGGAGAGAAAGAAGGAGAAGGACAAAGAGGAGAAAGGGAAGGAGGGAAGGAAGGAAGAATGGAAGGAAGGGGGCTCGGTGAAGGAGAAAGAAGGAACGAGAAGGAGAGAAGGAAGGAGAAGGAGAAAGAGGAGAAAGGGAAGGAAGGGAGGAAGGGAGGAAGGAAAGGAAGAGGAAGGAAGGAAAGAGGAAGAAAGGAAGAAAAGAGAGGAAGGAAGAGGAAGAGGAAGAGGAAGGAAGAGAGAAGAAGGAAGGGAAGAGGAAGGAAGGAAGGGGGTTTGGAGAAGGAGAAAGAAGGAAGGAGAAGGAAGGAAGGAAGGAAGGATGCTCGGTGAAAGAGAAAGAAAGAAGGAGAAGGAGAGAAGAAAGGAGAAGCACAAGGAGGAGAAAGGGAAGGAAGGGACGGTGGGATGAAGGAAGGAAGGAAGGAAGATTATCCAGGAAGATATATTTCTAGCTAGTTACTCTCTCAATCTAGCCTACCCCATAGAATCGTTGGGAAGCTAAAATTAAAATTAAGCAAAATCTGAAATTCTCATTGGAAAAAAAATCCTAAATCCTACGTTTTTGGTGTGTCTGTTTGTTCAGATGGTTGCCATTGCCCAGTCCCAGCTGGCATCACAGACGGAAATAAAAATAACCAGCCTCGCTCACCTCCTAATTATTTTTAATGGTAGCTTAAGTTGTAAAAAAAATATACAACATTGGTGCGGCATTTCAGGCTTCAGGTAAAATGCCTTTTTTCTTTCTTACCTACTTGCTTGGTATTCCCTTCCTTCCTTCCTTCCTTCCTTCCTTCCTTCCTTTCCTCTCCCTCCCTCCCTCCCTCTTTCTTTCTTTCTTTCCCTCTCCCTCTTTCTTTCTTTCTTTTCTTTCTTTCTTTCTTTCTTTCTTTCTCTTTCTTTCTTTCTTTTCCTCCCTCCCTCCCTTCCTTTCCTCTCCCTCCCTCCCTCTTTCTTTCTTTCTTTCTTTCCCTCTCCCTCCCTCTTTCTTTCTTTCTTTCTTTCTTTCTTTCTTTCTTTCTTTCTTTCTTTTCTCTCCTTTAAATTGTGTGTAAATGCGGTTTATCTCTATGTGCCTATGGATGGATGGTTCATCCATTAGGCTAGGATGCTGACAATTTTCCAGTGATGAAGCAGCCACAACTTCTGGAATGAAGTCATTCCACTGATTAATTGTTCTCACTGTTAGGAAATTCCTCCTTAGTTCCAGGTTGCTTCTCTCCTTGAGTAGTTTCTATCTGTTGCTTCTTGTCCTGCCTTCAGGTGCTTTAGAGAAGAGCTCTTCCTCTTTGTGGCAGCCCCTCAAATACTCAGGAATTGGCCTATTGCTGCTTTCAAAATGGACGCAGAGGGCAAAACACAGCCGGATCCCTGCAAAGGCTGCCATTTGATCCAACAACTGGTAGACCAAGATGGTACAGGTAGTCCTTGACATTTGTTTAGTGTCAAAGCGTTCAAAGCAGAGGTGGGTTTCAGCAGGTTCTGACCAGTTCTGGAGAACCGGTAGCGGAAATTTTAAGTAGTTCGGAGAACCCGTAGTAAAATATCTGACTGGCCCCGCCCCCATCTATTCTCTGCCTCCCAAGTCCCAGCTGATTGGGAGGAAATGAAGATTTTGCAATATCCTTCCCCTGGAGTGAGAAGGGAATGGGGATTTTACAGTATCTTTCCCCTGGAGTGGGGTGGGAATGGAGATTTTACAGTATCCTTCCCTTGCCAAGCCACACCCACCAAGCCATGCCACGCCCACCAAGCCACACCCACAGAACCGGTAGTAAAAAATTTTGAAACCCACCACTGGTTCAAAGTTACAATGCCCCTGAAAAAAGTGACTTTTGACAATTTTTCACACATACGACCATTGCGACCTCCCCACAGTCACGAGGTCAAAATTCTAGACGCTTGGCAAACTGACTCACATCGATGACGGTTGCAGCGTCCCTGAGTCATGCAATCACCTTCTGACCAGCAAAAATCAACGGGGAAGCCAGATTCACTTAAGAACGGTGTTATTAATAACTGCAGTGATTCACTTAACAACTGTGATAAAAAAGGTCATAAAACAGGGCATAAGTCCCTCAACAAATGTCTCACTTAGCAACAGAAAGTTCGGGCTCCATTGTGCTCGTAAATCGAGGATTACCTACATAAGGTTTCCTGCCTTGAGCGGAGGGGTTGGTGTAGATGACCTCTGAGGTCCCTTCCGGCCCTATGATACTATGTCCTAAGAGGCAGCCTGGGTAGCAAGACTAAAATGCCTATGCATGGGGTCCCCTGCCTGGAGATCAGCTCAGCCAAGGAAGCAGGAGGACGCCTCGCCCCCTCCCCTAGTTAGGAAGATGAGACTTGTGTGGGTGTCTGTGGTTAGAAAAAAATACCTGAACAGATTTTGCTTCGCTTCCTACGAAGCTCCCACTCACGTGAGGTTTCTGGAGGAAAGGAAGCTTACGGTGCCCACGCCTACTCGGTGCCTTCTGCACTCAGAGACCTTCACAGATCCACTGAGCAGATAAAGAAGGGTTTAACAGGGGCCCAGACATCCACTTACACAATCTTTGCCATCACATGTGGAGAAAGTTGCCTTCATTTTGCTCTCCAGCCATGGTGATAATACAGCCCAGAGCTATTCTAGCTTGACCTGGGCTAAAGTCATGAGTTGAGACTCTGGAAAGAGTGCAGAGAAGAGCAACCAGGATGATGAGGGGACTGGAGGCTAAAACATACGATGAACGGTTGCAGGAACTGGGCATAGCTAGTCTAGTGAAGAGAAGGACCAGGGGAGACATGATGGCAGTGTTCCAATATTTGAGGGGCTGCCACAGAGAGGAGGGGGTCAAGCTATTTTCCAAGGCACCCAAAGACCAGACAAGGAAGAATGGATGGAAACTGAACAAGGAGAGATTCAACCTAGAAATCAGGAGAAATTTTCTGACAGTGAGAACAATCAACCCATGGAACAGAAGTTGCCTTCGGAAGTTGTGGGAGCTTCATCACTGGAGGTTTTCAAGAAGAGACTGGACTGCCATTTGTCAGAAATGGTGTAGGGTCTCCTGCTTGGGCGGGGGGTTGGACTAGATGACCTATAAGGTCCCTTCCAACTCTGTTATTATTCTGTAAAAAAAAAAAAAGTTTTCTCCCTTATTCTAATCTAGACTCACGAGTCTCCAAACCTGGCAACTTTAAGACCGGTGGACTTCAACTCCCAGAATTCCCCAGCCAGCCTAGGGGTTGCAAGGCTGTTGTTAAATGAGTTGCACCCAATTTTACGACCGCCTTTGCCGTGTTGTCAAGCAAATCCCTGCCGTTATTAAAAGAATTGTGCGCTCATTAAGCGAATCTGGTTTCCCCCTATTGACATTGTTTGGCTGGGAAGGTCACAAATGGCAATGACATTTGGATGCGGCAACCATTGTACATGTATGTTGGCTGTCACATGCCCAAATTGTGATCACGTGACCACAGGGATGATATGTATGACAGTCATAAGTGCGAGGACCGGTCGTAAGTCACTTTTTTCCCCCAGTACCATTGTAACTTGGTCACTAAACGAAACGGTTTTAATTCGAGGATTTCCTGTAATGCCGATTTCTGCAGCTTTCATCATTCCACTGCACATTGCTCTTAATGTTTTATCCCATTTTACCAGAGGTGGTATAAACCGGTTCAGACCGGTTCGGATGAATCGGTAGCAGCCACTGCATAATGCCGTCCTATTTAGCAATGTTTTTGAGGCTAGGTGCATGCGTTGAAGGCGCATGAGCGAGCAAAGGGCATTCTGGAAGGCTGGGCCCATGCACGGAAGACATGCATGCATGCGGCGAACTGGTGGCAAGAATATGTGAAACCCACCACTGCATTTTACCCAGTGGTGAAATGTAAAATTTGTTGCTACCGGTTCTGTGGGCGTGGCTTGGTGGTGGGGGTGTAATGTGACTGGGTGGGTGTGGCCAACTCTTTTTTTTTTTTTTTTTTTGCTTTTAAAAGCATTTTTTCTACAACCTTAAGAGGTTGCAGAAAAAAAATGCTTTTAGAAGCCTCTGATGATCAGGCAACTCAGCTGGGATCGCCAGAG